TTCTTTGTATCTAATCTAAATCTACCCTCTTGCAGTTTGAAGATGTTATCCCTTGTCCTATCACCCTTTTAAAAAGTCCCTCTCCAGCTTTCTTGTAGGTCCTCTTCAGGTACTGGAAGGTCACTAATGTGAGACAGTTGATTTAAGAGGCAGTGAACGGAGGGAAAGTTTTCACATGGGTTTTTGTTATCTTGCAAGTAATTAGAATAGCCCAAGCTATGTAAATTAAAAGTTACCGAGTAGGAAAAGGTTGCTGGATAGCAGTCGGGGAACTTTTATTCTACAGAAGCCTTGGAAATGGGAGCCTCTGACATTTATGGGACTGTAGGATGGTAGCAATATATGTGGCTGCTGAATGCACGTACCCAGCATTTGAAATGTCACTTGTTTGTAAGTCCAGTGAAAAAAGTGACAATTATTTTGAGTGTTTCTTCTGGCAGAGTCTCCTCTCTGACTTGATCCAACACAGGCTTGTGAGAAATGGTTTCATTTGCCCTTCTGACACTTCGTGAGAAGGTGACCTTTTTGGTTTTAAACCTCTGAGAGTCTTGTTTCCAATGATTTCCTCCCCTTTTCTCTTCTCTCTAGATAGTCCCGGTGTTCACATACCTTTTCAGGCCAAAAATCTCCCAAGAGAAGTGCCACCGTGTCCCCTCTCTCAGTTTCTCTGTCGCTCCTGATAGGGAGGGGCAGAAATTGCATTGATGTGGCTTCTTATTTTTAGTATTTTCTCCTGTCATTGTTCATCTTGTGGGAATACCAAAGGTCTCCCATTCTGGGACAGGAATTTTGTAGATTACCGTGTGCATTATAAATTCCTTCTGCCAAGTAGAGGTGACGACTTAAGCCTGGTGCACATGTTTCCATGTGAATGATCTTCAGTCTCTGAAATGTCACACAAAAGAATGAAGGCTTTATGCCATGCCTGCCTGCCTGTGCGTTCCTCCTCCCCACCTGTGCCCATTATTCTAGGCGCCATTGTCTGGTGTCTTTGGCTAGATGCAACCTGGAGGTGACATCCCCTCTTGTAGATGCCAAGATCTAGTAGATGCTTTGCCATGTGCATTTACTCTGTCACTGTAGCCCAGCTTCTGCCATCACAGGTTCAGCACCCACAAGACCTGGGGAGGAGACGCTGATAAAGTTGGACCATGGCAGGAGTTACAAAGGCCACCTGGCCTGGATGATGACCTGCAAGCTCTCAGTATGCTCCCAAACCATGCCTTTCCAAAGGGTGTTTTTAATTTGAGGGATCTACATTTTAATTCATAGCCATCTAATGGATCAAGACTGTGGCAAAACCTCTTGACTTTTTGTCTGCACAAATACTAGAGGAAAGTTTGACTGAGGAGTGCTTGTGTTCTTGTGCTCACTGCACTGTAATTCCCAGGTCAAATTCCTGCTTTTGGTACTAGTGGGTCTAAACAGAGTTTTCTAGGAATTGTGCATGGATCCTTCTGTTCTGAGATAATTTAAGGCCTGCACGTGTAGTTTCCTTCTCTCTATATATATAAACACAGATGATTATTATGTTGATAAGCTTT